ACCAGCTATCATCATACCAAATTTCATCAAAATTTGTCTAGTGGTTTTCTCGTGACACGGTCACAGACAGACAGACAAAAATTCTAAAATTTATAGATTCGGCCTTTGTATCGATAATAATGACTATTTCAATAGGATTTTCTAAAAAATATTTAATGTACAGATTCGACGTAGTTAGAATTTTATTATATGTATAGATTTAGATATACCCTTCCTCATTTTTGTGCGACCACTCACGACCCCACGCTATAATAATAACATTATTATCCTTTTATAAGAATTTTTGGGATGGAGAAAAAAATTGCATTATTTTCGTGTGAAAACTCCTTTATGTTGGCTGTAAAGGTGGACAATCAACTTGACAAATGACACGGTATAGTACCCTGTTGAAGGTTATTCATTCTGTTATCTCTAACTAAAAATACATGTATATTTTAATATTGATAATTTTATTGCTCACGCATTGAATGTTTTTATTGAAACCATAGCGACCGTAATAATATAAACTATAAAGTATTTTTTAACAAAATATATAAAAATTAAACATCTATTTTACTCGTAATTAGAGTAAAGTTAATTAATCAGTTTCTACAATCGGTCTTCATGAACTTGCAATTTTATTTTACACTGTAATATTTTAAATTAAAAGTGTAAAAGTCTGGTATATATCTTATTTCGATCTGATGATTGAGATGATTTTAAAAAATGATTCAAATTATTTAAGACAATCATTTCTAAAGTATTATAAAAATATAAAGTTGTTGTCATCAAAATATGTATTGCTGAGGTCCAATTAGGCACCCATTAAAATCACGTGCGTGACATATAATAGGCCATAGCGTGATAATATAGTTTACAAAACATAGCCTTTTTACGTTTAATCTTAACATTAATGAGAAACATTTGATTTTTTTATTCAACCTTTATTATATTTTGAATGACTTTAAAAACAATCGTATGTATGTTATGTTGTATATATATATATATGTTTATACATACATATTATGTATGTCTTTTTAATGAAAACTTTATACCAATATAAATAAGGCTATTATTACCAGATTATTACTTTTAAGTAACTTATTTCAGCGTACATTTTTTAGTGTTAAAATAAATTTTTAGTTATTATTGAGCCAAGTTTATTTTAATTGCTTGAGTTGAGGGTAGAGGAATAATGTGTGCTCCACTTAGTGTTATAAATAAGTTAAAATGACCACTACTTGGTTATTACATAAACAGTAAATAACCATATATTGACCTGAGGAAAGATATTATTTCTAGAGCAATTTTGAAAAAAGCTACGCAACCGCTTATTATTTTAGTCTACAGCATTATATCTTCCAAACTAGTTTTTAGAATACTTAAGCTAATGTTGATACAAGCTGTCAGTGGCTAGTAAGTTATGTTTGTAGTGCTCATTGCTTTTTGATCATAATAAATGATAATGTAAACAATTTAGATAGCTCGTCAAGTGCCCGTCATGATTTGGCTGAGAGCCAGCGGGAAAGGTGTTTTATATCATCTTTCTTCATTTATACAATGGTTTACTGAACTATTCAAATGTACTATTATTTTTATACAAAATTTTTACAAACTTATACACATTTTTACAAACTTTTCAGGTGTAAGAATTTAAGTTTAAAATAATGAACCAATTTTTTTTTTAGATCGTCTTCGATCTAATAAAGAGTAATTTCAAAATATTACTTTTTAATATTTTAAAGGGCCCTTTAAAATTTTGATAAAGTCATCAAATCGAAGAGAGAGTTAAATATAACATCATAATTGATTGATAAATGGTAATATCTTCACAACTATGACCTTAAAATTGCGTGATATTATCACAGTGTAATTGCATATAACATGAGTGTAAGACATTAGCTTCGTGTAATGTTCGTTCTCTCCATATAGGGACTCATGTATAACTTTCATTATGTATCACGAACTCATTACTTCAAACTTTCCAAGAAAATTTAAAAGAAAGTTTGGGTTAACACTGTCAAATATCGGTTTTAAAATTTTACGTGATTCAGTTAGTATCACAGGAAGTGAGACAAGCTGCCGTCACACTACACGACTTTCTAAGGTGTATGGAAGTGCGCATATTATAACGGCTACATTTAGGCCACATCTTCATATTGATTATACTATTTTTACAGAAATTCCGTATTACCATTGTAGTTAATTCTGTCTAGGGCTCTTAAAATGTTTCTATACAACCACTACCCAACACTCATGGTTATAAACGTGGAGATGAGATCATTTGCTTAGTAAGCTATAGGTATATAAATATAATTCATTAACCAATCTGAACATATTTTGTGCAATAAATATCTTTTTATGTAGGTATATATAATTTAAAACTTGATTTTGTTATATAAACAAACTAGCTAGTTTTAAACTACTAGTTAAAGCTACCTAGTTACGCTTTAAAATTTAGTATAGATTTGTCAGAGATGACAAATTTTCCCGCACTAAAAAGTATTCCATATTTTGACCCGAATAACCACCTATCATCATATCAAATTTCATCAAAATCTGTCCAGTGGTTTTCTCGTGATGCGTTCCCAGACAGACAGTACAGATTCGACTATGAATTTTATTTTGTTTAGATGCAAAGTTAACGTTAACCTAAATACTTGTATATATACAAACAATTTGTTTTAATAATTTTACCTAGAATTTTTGGTTAAATATTATTTTATAAAAATGTGTTCAATAAAATACTTAGTAACATTCTAACATTAGTGTGAATGCTAATATGAAAGTAATGGGCAATGGCATAACGTTGCGTGTTAGGTCAGGCATTTTACTCGGTCTACTTGAGATATGATCTTATAAAATGTGAATAAACTTTGACTTTTTAGGTAATAATGAGGCTTGATAGGTGCGTAAATGGGGTAAATGGCTGTTTAAATGTTATGTTGGTAATATTAAAGAAATATTTTAAATGAAAATATCGTAATATTTGTAAATTAATGAATTAGCTATAAAATGCACGATTGAAGTTCTCCTTCCCTTTTTTTGGAAAAAATAAATAAATATTTTCTTGTGCTTTAAAACAACTGTTCAGAGACGATATATTTGAAGTTATATATAGTTGCATTGTTTGAGCTTATAGCAGTATATGTCATGTGTTTCATTACAATAAGATTAGATCTAACTAATGTACTATTGTGTAGGAAAATGTATTTAAAACGTTTTTAAAAAAAGTAAGTTTTTTAAATAAGGTACGTCTTTTAAGGTTTATTTAAAACTAGCAGAAACCGCGGCTTCGCTCGCGCGGAAACAACAAAAAAACTCTAAAATGGGAGGTTTCATACAAACTTTCATCCGCTATTTTATCCCCTTATGGGATGAATTTCGAAAAATGTTAAAACACGTATTTAATTTATGTATTGAAGAGCATTTATTTATACCAAGTTTCAAGTAATTCTGGTCATAATTTTTTTTTGGATTGTATTATGACGTGTTTTCCCGTGGGAAAGAGATAATCTCCGGCGATAAAAAGGAGCCTATGTCACTGTCCAGTCCTCCAACTATCTCCACACAAAAAATCACGCCAATCGGCTAAGCCGTTTCGACGTGAAAGAAAGACAAACAAACAAACAAGCACACTTTCACATTTATAATATTAGCAAGGATAGTACTATTTATTAGTTACCAGTATATATTTATGCAGATAAGCCTTTAAACTTTTTATTTGTCGGATTGTAGATAAAAGTTCTTTGGCGCTAACTACTCAGATTTCAATGAATATGTAACTAGTAAAGTAACTAAATAAAACATTATATTTTAGCTGAATTAATAATAACTACTGCTAATATATATTATACTGTAATATAGGTATACTATAATACCATTATATAAGGCAGTGGTAGCTCAGTGGTAACGCGCTCGCTTGGGAAACCGAGTGCAGTTGGTTCAAATCCCGGCTTTCGCATCTCTGATATTTTCATGTGCGAATCATTTCTAACATGATTACCGCTTGTATTACGGTGAAGGAAAACACCGTGAGGAAACCTGCATGTCTGACAGAACCTAGCAAGTTTTCGAAAGACATGTGAAGTCCGCCAACCCGCACTTGGCCAGCGTGGTGGACTATGGCGTGATTCCCCTCGTACTGAAGAGAGGCCCGTGTCCAGCAGTAGGACGTTAACAAGGGCTGTGTTAAATTTAATACGAAAGTGAATTGATAAAGATTTGGTAAAATGATCAAAGAAACGTAATACATGTTACATACGAGTATATCATTTGTAGCGTTACACTTAAATTAAAAGCTTACAGTTGCCTAATTTTAAATTCTTATGAAAATGAAATTGATACCAATATTTCCTCACTTTTTTATACGTTGGCCGCGACGCGACTTGTTTAAAGCGGGTAAAGCAAGTTTCGTGATAGCAGTAAGTAGACTCTATTCCCGACCGCAGAGCACCTGACGTCTGACTTCATATCAACGGACGTTAACTCTATATTTATTTTAATATATTGCTATACTAGATTGTATAGAGTAAATAAATTATCAACTTGTTTTTATTTAAATATCGATTCAAAAATTGCGTTCCCTCATTTATTCATCAGCACATTTTTCTCACATTATTTAAAATTTCAAATTAAAATCAATCAAATTAAAATTTACTAAATAATTTTAAGGATATTTTGTTTAAAAATACGTTAAAAAAATATTCTTATTTCGTCAAAAAAAATCTACAATTTATAAAATGTTTATGGAACACCTCTTGAACTGAGCTTCTGTAGCGGAATGCAAGTCCCGTTGGATTTGGCAAGATCCGCCTTGGACCTAGTAATAGAATATAGCTGATAGTAGGACTCATTATATTATATAGACCCTATTTTAATAGGTCAGCCAAGTCAAATTGAATGGAATACATGAACATAATACAGTATTATTTGAAATAAGTGAATTGTAGAGCAGTTTTTCGTCTCTATAAAATGATACAAAATTGATAATATTATCGATTGCAGACAATACCGTCTGTATGGAACTTGTACAAGTAATTGCAAAAAGTTCTATTCGAAAAAGTTTATTCACACGAATCGAGGGACGCGGCACGGTAAGATTGCGGCGCGAGCGCTACAACCGTGAACCGGTGCGCCAGTCTGCCGCTAAACTTCGCCGCGCGCGCACGTAGATATATATAGAGAATAAAATCAAAAACACCGTTATCGTCCTCAATGACCACCTAATGGGCGAACGAGGTAGTCCATGCATGTTATAGTGTGCTAGTGAAGGAGTGCAGTGTTTGTGTTCATGTTATGGAGGAGATCCGCATATCGGACTGGCCCGAGCCACCTGGCTCCCATGCATGGCTGCCTGCTTACGGCTTCCAGCATGAAATAATGGAAAAAGAGGACTATTTCGGCTCCAATGGTGAGTTCTGCTCACTCGACCAGACGATGCCGTTGGAAAGCGTTTGAGCATCTTGATTCTTGGCATTTGACTTTGCATGACTGGATTCTTTTAATCTTCCGTTTTAGACCTTGAAAGTTACTGCACACTTTGTTTTGTTTAGTCGACACTTCGAATCCCGCATGGTGTTGCAATTTTGTAACATACTCACTCTGATGAAGTGCTGATAGGTATTGTTTTGACTGTAACAAAACTAATTACCCTGATGTATTTAATTGTTCTTAAACAATAGTTTCGCATGGTAAAGTTTTTTTACTAAATATACTAGTGCCGAAATATTGAGATAAAAAAGAACGTATGTAAATAATTGCATGTAGAGTTTAGGTATGATATTTTAAAATTTAATTATCATTTTACAATAAAATGAATTTAGTGATTTAATCAAAACTGATAAAAACGGGTTGCCATAAAAAATTAAGTCACACTTTCTCCTCGAAAGTAGTAAGATGCTAATCTAGCGAATGCCATAAGTTGAAGAGAAAATATAAAACCGAAATTAGTATCAGCTTCTTCAATTTAAATATTATTTTATTATTATCTGTAATATATATTCGATTATATAATATTTACTTATGTAAAAGTCTCATTCGCTTCGTTAGTAGATACATATATTAAAAGCTTTTTTTATATCAGAATTTGCGTATCAGAATACGTACCAAAATATAAAACTACTATAGGAAAGACAAGAAAATTATACATTGCCATGAATGTAAACATAGGTAAAATACCAGCTATGCGATAGCTTATCAAAGTATGCCTCCAGGATGTTGCAAGACAACAGAATTTTACTATTATTTTGTAGATTTTTATCTAGACCTCATCTTACATCTATATATACTAGCACTGCCCACGGCTCCGCCCGCGTTCAGATGACCAAAAACCAAATGTTTAGGTTTTACATATTAGTATACTCTTACATTGCAGTTTTTGTATTTTTTCTCAGAAATGAGACATTTTCCCGCGGTAAAAAGTATCCTATATGTTGATCCGAATAACCAGCTATCACCATACCAAATTTCATCAAAATCCCTCCAGTGTTTTTTGTGATGCGGTAACAGACAGACAGACAGACAGACAAATATTCTAAAAACTATATGTATATTCGGCCTCTGTATCGGTAATAATGTCTATTTCAATAAGATTTTCCAAAAAATATTTAATGTACAGATTCGGTTTAATTAGAATTTTATTATATATATATATATATATATATATATATATATATATATATATATATATATGTATATCGATTATATATCGTTACTACTGAGTACAATTTCGTTGTCAGTGCTGAAGTAATTTCATAAGCGTTAACTAAATGGAAATTAAGTTTTACAAAATTAAATACATAAAAATATATATAACTAAATTTAATGAAGGAAAAGTCATAGGATTTCCTTCTCATAAAATGCAGCGCATTGCTTTAACTGTAATCTGATACAAGCCATATTCCTCGTACATATTTTTTGGCGACTATGAAATAGAAAATCCCATTAAAACTTTAATCAATATTCACTTTAGTAGTAGTAGTAGTAAAAAGTTATCGTTTGTAATGAAATCTTCATAAATATACATTTGCTTTATTTTCCATACACCCAAATCCACTGAGCCCAGCCAAAGTAACAAACACACATTCAATCACATGATGAAATCACCCCATTCTTATTCTCATTCTAACGAAAATAGCTGTCGATTTTAATATATGCGACGACGTAGAAGATAACTTAACATTTCTTTAAAATATGATAAGTATAAGATAGTAGAGACTTGTATCTTATTTAGAGTCTTTCTTTACTATTTTTATTGGTTTTATTTATTTACTTTAAAACGATTACAAGAAATTGTGTTCAAAGTGTTTCAAATTTTGTGACTCTAGGTCTTCGTATACGTATTCGTTGAAATAAAAATACAGAAATAAAAGGTATAAACTGTGATTATTATACACTTTTTCTATTCATTACTTACACAGCAATTACCTTTCGATTTGTATATTGTGAAAGTAACTTGTACGAGCAAAAAATTATTATACTTACTACGTCAATTATTGTGCATTCGTTGTTGATTTATGGATTTTACAAACGCGAATCTCGGATGACCGGATGATACGTATTTTGTGTACTCTCTTGATCATGACTGTAAGGTTGAGAAATCAGCATATTTATTAAGTATAGTTAAAAAATTTGTTTCAAATCTATACTAATAAATGGAGAGCCGATTTTTTTGTTCGGTTATACTGCGATAACTATTGAACCGATCGGAATAATACTTATACCATAAGATGCAGCGTGTTTCGGAGAAGGTTTTAGTATGATATGTTGGTGATTAATGCACGATGCGGGTAGAGCCGCAGGAAAACGCTAGTCTATACATATAATAAAACAGTAACTTAACGAAATCGACGTACGCGTTTCACGCAAAAAGTACTGAGCCAATTTTAACAAAATTTTGTATAGTAATAACTTATTACTCGTGTCAATATTTAGAATACATTATACAACAGACAAATCTTACATTCCCACCGAAACATACAATAACTGGTTTTATAGAGTCGTTCTTAGAAATTTACATCTCTACTAACGTTGGCTAAACCTGAGACATACATCAAAACAATGTGCTAGAAAATTGTAGGTCTGAATAAGGCCTGCAGAAAAATCTGCAATAGCATAAGTATTCCTCCTAAAGGACACTCGTAATAACTATTCATATTTAAAACGTACTTAGGGATGCACCCGGGCGAAGCCAGGATAAATCACTAGTATATTATAATTTTTATGCCTAATATATAAATAATGAGCATGGTATAATCTTAACGAAAGTATTGACAGTCATTATTATTTGGGACAGAATGTAGAACCCTTGACATGATGTAGAGGTTCTGTACATATATATGTATGTGTGTAGGTACATATACTGTAAAAATTGGAGAGTGTAAATTAAGCAATTACCTTGAATAATTGTTTATACAAAACTGCTTTTCTTATATGTTTTATGATTCTAGAGCATTATTGATAAATCGTTTAATTCACTTCACAGCTTTCTCTGGTAATATAATTTACTGAAAGAATACCTTAACAATAATAATTAATCTTAAAATTAATACATAATATTACTAAGAATACTCTACATCACAATATCCATACTAATATTATAAATGTAAAAGTGTTTGTTTGTTTTTTGTGACGGATTGACTTGATTTTTTGTGTAAAGATAGTTGAAGGGATGGAGAGTAATATAAGCTACTTTTTACCGCGGGAGATTATTTTATTCTCACGGGAAAACACGTTATATTACAAACCCATAACAACTCATCATACCTATGTACGAGTATATACAACTCTATCAGTATTAATATCATAAATGTGAAAGCTTGTGAGTATGGATGTTTGTTACTCTTTCACGCCAGAACGGCTGAACGGATCTGGATGAAATTTGGCACAGAGATAGATTATAGTCTCAAATAATACATAGACTACTTTTCATCTCAGAAAAATGCACGGTTCCCTTGGGATAGGTTTGTTTTTGTTTTCCTAGAGGCGAACCCGAACGATTGAGGGTATATAATATATATTCTATCTAGCATCTATATATGTATATACTAACCGTTAAAACGTATCTAGAGACAAGATGACTGAGTCACTATAATTTTATAATTTTGTAGGGCACGTAGATTTATGAAAAAACTGCATTCCTACATGTAACAGAATTCTCAATCAACAATGTATGTTAGGCATACTCGAGGCTCCGGAACTCTATGTTTCCAAGAACCAACAGAATACGTCTAACAATAATTTATAATTGCAACGTTTCACAATTGTAATACGGGAAGTATTTGTAAAACGTGTTCGTCCATTAACTTTCTAATGACAAGATAACACATGTCCTTGAAAATTGTCATCGTTGTTTCATTTTTAACTACCGTTTTCACGCGGCTCCGCCCTCGTAGGTCAACTAAGTGTCACTACATCTTTATAAATTATAGTCTACGTATGTGCTATATGTGGTTCTGAGGAATGACTGAATTACTGTAAAGTTTCATCAAAATCTGTAGATTTTGCGTGAAAGAGTAAAAAACATGTATATACTCGTACGTCCAAACGCCCTAACAAATTCGCCTTTATTATATTAGTAGGATTGATATATTAAATGAGTAAATATCTATGAAAGTAACAAAAATACATAACACTGTGACATTTGTTGTATTAAAATATTAAGCCGGCGGCGGTGACGTACTGTATCATATTTATATACTATGCTTTATATTGGACTATGGAAAATTATGCGGATGTAAAAAGAATCGCTGTAAATAAAAATAATTATAATAAGTAGTGCAAAAATCTTTCTTGGGCTGTTTTCTGGTTTGGGATATTAGAAAAAAAATTCTAATATTCAAAACCAGCTAGCCAGCGTCACATTCCTACCTAAACCTAAAAAGACCTACCTAAAAAAGTATACACGATGTCGAAATATTTTTTAACTTTCGGATCCGAAGAGTCGTATTGTGATTTTAGATTACATGATGCAAAATGATTTTTTCAAATCCGTCTAATACTTGAAGAGATTATCACTTTCTAACAAACAAACAAACAAACAAACAAATACTTTAACTTCATATATAGATCTAATAGAAGTCATAAATAGTTACCTAATTTTAAATATACGTATGTGTGAACAATCTAGTTTTAAGTAAAAAATAATCTCTATAATATAGACGAAATCTACCTCAGCTTGTTTTTATCTGTTAGCCAAAGCAAATATTTTATGTCTCTAACGTCACGATCAAACATGCGGCTGCAATTTAATCGGCGTTTGAAAGCAATGCTCAAGGTAGGTAAGGCCAGTGAGCTTGTATTTTGTAGGTCGCAGTTATGAATACCTCATAGACGAATGAGTAAGCTTTAGGGATGAATAAATAAACAATTTAAAATATCGATGATAATATTCATTTTGCTGACAATTAAACAAGCTATGATACTATCTAGTACCTAGATGCTTTTTACTCTTATAA